CAACATGTGTATATGTACTTTTGGGCAAGAATGGAGAAATTTGACAATTTGCCCATCTTTCTAAAGAAGAATGTTTTTATTTCTGAGGCTAAATTTTTCGCCCTCAGGATGTGTTTTCAAATCTGGTTTTTATAATATAGTAAAAAAGATCTGTATTTTTATCCCTCCTTTTTCTGTTCTTGTTTATGTGGAATAGTAAGGTAATGCAATTTTATTTCTCAGTATTTGATTTGGCCTTGGGGAAATCTGTGTATTTTGTTCCCAGACTGTGATTATTTCCATATACTTATAATCAACAGTTGTGTTCTGATGTCCACTTGTGACTAAATTTTATATCCCCTTTGTTTCAGGGTAAAAAATGCTTTCCAAATTGAATTTATGACATTTAGAGGGAAAAAACTTTTAACTTTGTAAGATAATCCATGAAAAATTGTAAGTTTGAATGGGTCTTCTATATGCTGCCAATAAGGGAATCAATGTATTTTTCATGTTGTTCAATTATTTGTCCATGGCTTTATTATGATTGTAAATTTACCTGTGCTTTGGGGCCCTGTTTTAATTCTTCTGATAACATATTTCATAAAATTTTTATTGGACTTTAAAAACATAGGTATCATAAAATTTATTTGTTGTTTGGTACCAGGGAGTGAACTCGGGACCTTACACTTGCAAGGTAGGCGGTGGAACCACTGAGCTAAATCCCCAGTTCCAGTGTCATAAAATTTAATTGTAAATAAATTTGTTCTTTGAAAACGTACGACCAAATTTGAGTACAATGTTATTTAAAAAAAGAAATTACTAATTTAAACATTTGCAGTATTTTCTGTGCCTGCTAAAATTATGATGGCAAATGGATTTGAGATATAATTCATTACTGAAGCACATTATTGTGTATAGTTTTGTAAGTGAGAGTCGTAAGATATCAAGGAGGAAGAGTTCCCATACTAATAGTTCTGTCCTAATAGAGTTGCTGCAGGTGAGATCGATGATATTACTGGTCATGTCCCCCCGAAGAGAGATGTATTTGTTTGGGGAGCACACTCATTTCCCTTCTCCCTTCCTTATCTCTCTGTTTTTCCTAACACACATGGCTACATTTTACCACACTTTTTTTCAAGTCATTTATTTTGGTTTTTGTTTTGGAATATCTTTAAATTTACGTGCAACTTGCAAGTACTGTCAGCCAGAGACTCCACTGAAATTTTTCTGTCCTCTTAATATCTTTTATAACAAAAGAGTTTAATCCTGGACCATGTGTTGTGATCACTTGTGTATTTGGCATCTCCATCAATACAGCACGACTCCTTCTTAGACATTCACGACTTCGACATGTGTGAAAAGTATAGGCCTATGGCTTTGTAGAATGGTTTTAAGTTTGGGTTTGCTTGATATTTTTTCATGATTAGATTTAAATTCTGCACTTTTGGCTGGAATATCAGAGCAGTGAGGCTGTATTCACTCTACTACACCTTGCCAAGTGACATGTGACATCCATTTGTTATAGCATTGGTGATGTTAGCCTCAATCACTTGAATAAAATGGTATTTCTTGGGTTGCTTTAGTACATTTTGTGCACAGAAAGTTTGAGCCTATATAAGCATCCTTTGATTTGTCCATATTTTATACTCTAGTTTTAGCATCCATTTTTCTTATTTGAATTGTTGCTTAAATGGTTGCCATGTAGTGATTCTACCCTTTTTTCTACATTTATAATTTGGTTTTTTATTATAAGGAATAGGGCCAGGGATTTAGCTCAGTGGTTTCGCTGCCTGCTATGCAAGCACAAGGACCCGAGTTTGATCCCCTGTACCAAAAAAAAAAAAAAAAAAAAAAGGAAAAGATTGCCCTTCTCCCATTTATTTATTTCTTTATTCATCTGTGTCTATTGCTGTGAGCTCCTATTTTATTCACTGAGATACAATGGGACATGATCAGTGTTTGTCTGATGATCAGATTGTCTTGGTTTGGGTTACAGGAGGCCTTGTCTAGCTTGAGGTTCTTTGAGTACAGCCCTGTCTGCTCATTGTGAACTTCATGGCCAGCCTGGATTCGGCCCTTTGATGAGGAAGTCCTTGTTCCTAGTATTTAGATGCCAAGATCTGAACACTTGGTCATCTCTGTGTTGATAGAGTATTGACTTTCCAGGCCTTCTCAGGAAATTGAGCCAAGAACTATATTTGGGTGTACACAGGCATGTATATTTTCAAATGAACACACACAAACTTTCACTTCTGTATTTGCTTCTCACTCATCTATCTCTCCATCCATCATCTATGGACCTGCCTATCTATCTATCTATCTATTTATCTATCTATCTATCTATCTATCTATCTATCTATCTATCTGTATCTTTCTAGTATCTATTTATTGAATACCATGATTTCACACTGATACGTTCAATTCCTATTAAACACCATAGGGCTCATTCTAGCTTCCCATACTTTTCACATTTGTAGCTGGATTTTCCGGCAGTGAGACTCTCATCTCCAGTTGGCCCTAATGGTTTACTTCCTGTCACTCTTGCTGTAGGTAGCAGGTTCCTGGCTCTTTGGCCACAGACCTCATACCAATCACCATGATAAATTCTTGCTGCCTTATCAGTTACAGCATTATCCTTTAGTGCAAGAATTTTTCCCCACATTTGTTAGCTCTTTTGTCCCCCCATGCATCCCCCATTTATCATTTAATGGGTAGGGAGGCACTGACTGTTTTACCCCCTGGATGAGATACAATCATAAGCTGATTTGATACAAATTAAATGAACTGAATCTTCCATTAGTGAACAAGTGAGAGGCTATAGTGGCAGAAGCAACTATCCTTCAGTGCTTTCCTGATGTAATTCCTCTTCGAATAACAGCAGTGTTTAAATATAAGTTAACTCTTCCTTATTAAGAATCATCTACATGATTACCCATGGTACATTTTTTAATATTCCAAATTCAGTAATGGGTTTTGTAATTTTTGGAAAGATGTGTCTGAAGCTATTTGTTTTTCACAAAGGCAATTTCTTTTTTCATAAAAGTATCTGAATGCGTAAGAGTCACATGATGCACGGAAGATAAAAAACCATACCAAGAAATGCAAAGGTATGCAAGGTACTTGCAGGAGGCAGAAGACATTATGCAAATGCCTCTGCCAGACTTGACATTATCGGGCCCCCACTGTGCATGCATTTGCTGCAAGATGTACTGGCAGTCAAGGAGTTACTGGACACTCCATGGCATGGCCATGCTGTCATCAACTTCTGAAAAAGGCCTCCAGAGAGTTGGCTCACCAGCTGTGGTTTGCCTGGTTCTCCATGCCATGGTTGTGGTACAGTGGCCCTGTCACTCTGTTAGTTCTGTGCCCACCGTGCAATGTGCCACAGACTGCACTGGGAAGGGTGCTTTTCATTAATGAAGCTTCTGTGCTGGTTCTGCACTATAACTGGGCAGGAGGAGGTGTGGCTGGGGTGCTGTCTCACTTTGACACTCTTATGACCCCTCCTTCTGTCTCTACTCCTCCAATTTCTTCACAATGGAGTCTTACTCACCTTCCTCATTGGTGAGACAAAATATTGGACACCTGCAACTTAAAGAAGGAGAGGCTTATTTTGGCTCATGTTTCAGTGGTCTCAGTCCTTACATGGTCAGCTGACTCTGAGGCAGGAGGACTTGGTACAGGGGGATGGCAGAGGAGAGCTGCTCACCTCAGGGCAGGCAGGAAGCAGAGAATCAAGGCAGGAGCCAGGGAGGGAGATATAACCTTCCAGGTCACACCCCAGTGACTGCCTCTCCTGACCAGGCCCCACTTCTTAACAGCAAGTCAACTGTAAACCCTCATAATCCAATCACTTTCCAAAGGCTCTGCCTATGATGCCATGAGGCTTTAGGGGGACATTTTGATGTAAACCGCAACAGGTGTGATGGCCCAAGAGAGAGAGGAAGTGTCCTCAGTAGAGCAGGAACACAGCTGGCATGAGAAGTTCAATAGATCCCCAGCTCTTCAAAGTTGCTTCTTCTACCAATATGCTTCAGATTTTGTTCTACCCCTGGAGTTGCATCCTTGTTTTGCAGATATAATAGCACTTGCAATATGGAGGGTTTGTGTCTTCTATAGTTTGGATATCGAGTGTCCCCAGAGGGCAGGGTGTTAAAGGCTTGGTTCCCAGCCTGTGGTGCTGTTGGGATATGGCAGAATCCTTAGGAGTGGGGCCAGCGGAAGGAAGTTAGGTCCCTGGGCCCTTGGATGGGATGTGGCAACCTTGGACTTTTCTCTCTCACTCTCTCTTGTTTCTTTTGGTCTCCAGAACACCATGAAGTGAGCAGTTTTCTTCTAACATGTGCTCACACCGTGATGTTTGGCCTCACAAGGCCCCCAAAACAACAGAACCATATGACCATATGGACTGAAACCTCTGAAACCATGAGTCAAAATCAATCTTTCCTCCATATAAGTTTCTGCTTAGAAGTTCCTCAGGTTTATGGTAACAGAGATGAAAAACTAACACAATACCTATGGTTCACTTCCTTAATTCAATAAGAACTATAATCCTTGGTGTTTGAATTGAACTTTTGTACAAAGAACAAATGATTATTTTGTTTTGGGGCAAATTTGAGTTATTTGGGCTGTATGTTTAGTTTGAAGAACCTGTCTCTCACTAGTCAATCAACAGACGTGGTGGTCTCTTACCATGACTACAGAACAGTAACATGGAAAAAGAATATGCCTAGAAGTATTTGCAAATTTCAGAACTCACAGTACTTTTCTGTCATATCTACTTATGAAGGTCAAGGGTTCAACTCTAGTACTTTCTCTGGTCTTGGAATTCCAATGGTGTTTTTGAACTGGTGGATCACAATTACCTGGGAGTTGTTGATAAATTCTGTTATTGCCTTCTGGCTAATTATCCATCTTCCTCCTCCCTCCTTTTTTCTCTTCCTTCTTCCTCTCCCTCCCTCCTTCCTCTCCCTCCCTCCTTCTTTTCCTTCCTTCTTTCCTGTTTTTTCCCCCTCAAAAAGGCGCTTTATATCAAATCTGTGGTTGCATATCCTCAAGAATATTTTATCATCAATCTTCTTTCCTCACTCTCTCAAGACACCATTTCCATGCCGGACATGGTGGTACAGGAGGATCCAGGCTGAGGCAGAAGGATCACTGTGAGTTTGAGGCCAACCTGGGCTACATAGCAAGTTAAGGGCAGCCTGAACTGCCTAATGAGACCCTGAATAAAAGAAAAAAACCCAAATAAAACACCATTTCCATATGCTATGGCCAACCATCATATCTATGTTTCAGTTTTACAGAGTAACAGATGTTTCTTTGTGTGCATGCAGCATTTCCTTCTCCATCTTTGGTTTCTATCCTCATGATCATATTTAATTGGAGCTCTAGTGGGCTGAGTATCATAGCCTAAGGGGCAGAAAGACCTGGGCTCACAATCAGCTCTGCACCGCTGTGTCCATATATACTTAAAACTGGTGCATTTGTGTGTATGTTTTGTGTATAATAATACATATATCACTGGTTTATTTAAAATACTCACCCTAAACCAGTCATATAATAAAAAACAATGAGTATGTGTTAGACTATAACTCCACAGAGCTAAGATCTTTGACTGTTTATCTCCATAGACACCTAACAGAGTGTCTGGCACACAGTAAGAACTCAATAAATGAGTGTTAACTCTTGCTATTGTTCTTGTGGTGATACAGCCCTCCCCACAATGCTTTGGAAATTAAATGTAAGTGACATGTGAAGGTAAGCAACATGTCTCTGACACACATGACAGACTAAAGTCTTTCTTGTCCTCCCCAGGCATCCTGTTTGTTATGGTGGTGCTGCTGTATACCATCTGGGTCCAGCTGGTGGCAGACTTCGAGGGCTATCGGAGCATGAAGCTGAAGGACTGTCTGGAATTCACCCCATCCGTCCTGTTTGGCTGGTCATTTTTTGTGGCCCCGGCAGGAATATTTTTCTCTTTGCTGGCTGGCTTACTCTTTTTAGTTGTTGGACGGCATATTCAATTACATCACTAAACAGACTGTGACCACCAGCATTTTTTTCCATCTTATTTTAAAGATATCAACATAAAATTAGTTGATGTTCCTCTGACTTGTCTTTGGAAATGAAGCATTGTGCTTGTGATGTCCTCTAAGAAACTGCTAGAATTTCTCCAGACACTAACATGTTCCCATATTATCTAAGTGCTATCAAGGACTCAATTCTCCAGGGAAACAATACCTCCTTTCATGGCACATTTTGGAGTCCATGCAGGTTGGGTAGACCCAATAATACCATACCACCACTGGGGGCAAATCAAGATTTAGTTTGAAGTCTCCTTTTTGGACATTTGTTTCTGTTGCTAATTTAAAAACAAAATCTTGGAGAAAAATTAAGAATGAAAAACATGTTGTCAGAGAATTTCTTTCACTTTTCCTCTACCCAGATACCTACCCACATATACATTCACTGACTCCTGTTAGCAAATTATTCACTATTTAAAAATAGACAACAGTTATTCTTGTTAGCAGGAGCTACAGACTTTGAAGTTAAAATGGTCCACAACAAATGAAACCAAAAATATGTATTTTATTTTTTCTCACTAAAATTAATTTGCTTGCCTAATTTTATTCTGTTAATTGTGCATGTTCACACAAACTTTAAGCTACATTTAAAATTGGCAGATTTGTACACCAAATTTTATATAATATAAATGAAGATTTTATAAACTTAAAGTAGGCTAATTGTATAATGTAATATGGTTGAAAATATGTAAAAACCAAGCACGTCAATTCAGTACATAATCCTGTTTGATATTTTGAAATTCGTTTAAAAATTATATTGCTAAGATGTTCAACATGTGAAAATTTATTGATGAAATGTGCTTTTAATATTCTCCACCTATAAAGTTTTGAAATACGTCCATGTAAGGCTTGCTTTGTGAAAGACTATGAAATATTAGCTCTCCCCAAGATTTTATAGGTACCAGTTCTTCTGATCATTTTATGTCTTTAATTATTGCCCCTCAATTTCTTCTTCTTTACAATAGATACATTAACATTTACAGATCTGCAATATCCTTTAACTTCCTAGAAGGAAAGATTTTTTTTTTGATGGGGAAAAATAATTCTTTATCATTTGCTAGCATAGACATTTTGCGTATCAAAGAACTTTCTCTGGCGTGAATGTTGATTGAAATGAAACTCATCTAAGGGATATAGGTATTTATATTCTGGAAGCTTCTATCATGCCAAAGTTTGATGTTAGTGAAAGAACAGCATTTCAGCACATGTGAGCTTTGTTGGAGGCCCCTCCCTGTTTCCTTAAAGAGTTGGTGAGAAGGAAAGGAAGGACCCAGAAGGAGAGGGGAACTGCCTGAAAGTCATTCTGATAGGGAAGCAGTGGCTTCTCACCCAACTGGTCCCATGGAGAGCTCGCCCAAGCCTTCTTTGCATGCCTTCTATTTATCCTGAGGCCTCAGTGGGAGGGGGCTGAGAAGCTAAGGTCTCAGTTATCTATAGAATCCTGAGGACATTCTAATGATAGTTAGGGCTTACCCGTAACAATGATTTTTTTTGGTTTCAGGTATTGAGCTTGGGACCTTGTGCTTGTGAGGCAGGTGGCAGAACCACTGAGCTAAATCCCTGGCCCATAAGAAGAATTTTTTAATAGTGCCAGACTTTAGCTGGTTTCTCAAGTCATTTTGATGATTATCATGAATATTTTTGTGGTTCTTTTCCTTTTTCTTCTTTAGTTTCATTTTTATATTGCTTCATTTACTTCTTTGCTTTTTCATCTTGATTATCAGAAAAAATACTTATGGGTTCTGCTATGCTTTTGGACCATGTTAGTAAGTGATAGCATGCCATTCAGGGTTCTGGAAAATGCTTACATGTATTTAATTAGCTATTCCTGTTCCCAGGGTGTTGGAATGGAACCTTTCTCTGGAGTATTTTATGCCATTTAAATTTCATATATAAGCTGCTTTTAGTAAAGGTTTGAGTATTTATAACCTCACTTTGTAATACATTAAAGCGGCTACTGTGTGTTTATCATCATGTGGCACTTTTACACAGACCCACACAGTGCGAGTTTTTTACAGTTGCTATGCATCAGTTCCTTACTGAGGGGAAGGAATGAAAGTGAGTTGTGTTTGCTATGTCAACATATAAACTACATTTAAATTTTGGAGAGATATGAGGTAGGATAAAACATAGTGAATGTTCAAATTTTTAAAAAAGTTACAGTAAAAGACATATTGTCATTAATCCCTCTCAAAATATTCCACCCTTGCTTCAAACACACTCATCCCTTCATTCTTGCCTCTTTCTGAATTAGTTCTGGAAGATTTCTTTCTTGAGTACTTCTAGTTTCACTGTCATGGTGGCCTTGGTGTCCTGAATCAATTGAAACTGCTTCCCTTTCATGGTATTTTGACTCCAAGGAAGAGCTGGAAGTCACATGGGGCTAGATCTGGTGAACAAGGTGGATGAGGACACACTGTTGTATTTTCACGAGCTGCCTTTCCTTAGGATGGCACACAGCAGCACCATTCACCGTATTTTTTATCATACCTCCTAAAGATACTCACGAAAAGGACTTCCAGAACTGCTTCAGAAAATGGCAAGAGCAACAGGATAAGTGTGTTTAAGCAGTGGGGGGAAGGGGGAAGATTTTGCGAGTAATTCATGGCAATGTGTCTTTTAGTTTAAAAAGATTTTAAAAATTTAAACATTCTCCATATACTTTGTTCACACTTTGCATGCAGTAGATTGCTATAACAGCCTTTTATATGATCTGGGGTACTGTATTTACAAATGTCTGTGCTGTGTTTATTTCTCTGGGGAGTGTATTGATTAATTTTCAGAAGCCTTCAAGCAAAGGGTTTAAATCTTTTTTCAAAGTGTTGATCTTGCATCCTACAGTTTTGATTTCACAAATGAGATTATCTTTGCAGTGACCCTGGCAGAATGGACAAAGAGGGCAGCTAGTGAATCCTGGGTGGTGGTGAGAGCTGCGACTTCTCTGGGTTGTGTTTGTTCTGTAGCTGAAGTTCACAGTGGCCCTAAAACAAGTGGTGAGGCCACACCTCGAGGCTGAACACTACTGCTCACCACAGGTATGGTTGCTGGGACTGTCTAAAAGAGAGCGTCCAGTGGGCTCTGGCTGCCATCAGTCATTTTTACCGCCAATCTTGGGAGTGCAGCCACAGATTTTGAAGATGAAATCCACTTATAAAGGAATAGGGTAAGAAGGTATCAGCATTTAGAAATTATCAATCATTAGCAGTGGCTGTGTGTGTGTTTTGTGTATCTGTGTGTGTGTGTTGTGTATCTGTGTGTGTGTGTGTATGGTGAGGACAGCTGTTAAAATTATATGTCTGGGTAGAAAGATTAATTGATGTATTGAAGTTAAGAAATATTTTAAAGCCAGGGATTTAGCTCAGCGGATCCACTGCCTGCTTCGCAAGTGCAAGGTCCTAAGTTCAATTGCTGGTACCAAAAACAAAAACAAAAAAACCCAAAGAAATATTTTAAAAATCGATTTCTCTTGGGGGACAGTGTTTCCCTGGATGCCACTTTAACTGTTTGACTCAACTGATGATGTTTAATCAACTCAACACATCATTTGACTTCTATTTCATGAAAATTACTACATATGGCTTATAAATGCTAGAAATATTAGGCAAAAAAGGGATGCTAGGAAAATTAGCCAGACATAGATCTGCAGGTGGGAGGAATGGTGGGGAAAAAACAGCAGAGCTGGGTTTACAGGAAACAAATACATTCATGGGCAAAATAACAACTGGATTAGATTTATTCCCTGAAAGAATAAGAGGCTCATAAAAATGAGATGAAATGGGAAATTAAAATTGTATGGGTTGTCTGATGGAATTAAATATATGGAGACAGTTTCTGAGAAATGATCACATGTAGGTGGAGAGATTCCAACATGAACTTAGGAAGACAGTATCTTAGATATGTTAAAAACCATGAAGGGTGGGGAAATATCTTTCATATAGTATACATTTCATATTGCATCTTTTATATTACAACATGCATAGACTAAGCACAACAGCAGGGAAAAGAAGAAAGAAAGCAAAATGTCCAGTTAGCATACAGAGTTTTGGGACTGGCTACAGCAGGTGCCAGGAGCTGTCTATGGGACCTCAGGATTGGCCTGCACCAGGCTATGGGGTGGCACATGTTAGAGAAACATGGAAACATGCTAAGAGGTCTGCTCTGGGTTTTAAGGTCATGTCCCTTACCTCTAGGGCATGGGTATTATGCCAGTGAGTTCCCTGTGAACTCTGTGTTGGTGTCACCCATAGGAAGACTTGAATGGTGTGGTGAAAAGTTATGAACCTGCATCTGAAGACCTGAACTCTAGTCCTGTTTTTTGAAAAGGCACATAGAAGCTTGTGCTTTGTAAAATGAGCTATCTCTGAATATAAAGAATCACATGACAGATCTAATCAATCTGTAACAGGAGTTAGAATTCTGTTAGGCACAAAGGACAGCAGCCCCCAAATGGAGTCAGGAAGCCCAAAATGGAGTCTGCTGCATGCAAACCCTCCAGGGATCTTACAAAAGCATCTGCTAGGCATCCTGTGGTTATCTGGGACCTCTCCAGAGAATGGGGATCAAAAGGGGCATGGGCTCAAGGGGGCACTGTATGAATGCTGCATAGGTTGAACCCTGAGAAGTATGTAGGCTCCTATAGGGTAGGGAGCACATTGCTTACACAGTGGCTGGAGCTCCCTTCTGAACCTCTTAAAAAACCCTAGACAAAGAACTCTCATGGTGTGCTGCTTGGAAGCCCCTCTTGGCTAGTGGGAGCTCTACTCCCCTGCCTTGATGGCTTTTAAATTTGCCCTGCACTCTACCTTCTCCATCTAAGGCTTCATTTTTCATCACCATAGGACATGGCCCTGGTGCTCTGGTAACAAATTTATTTAATTCTATTACCTATCTAAATGTATATAGATAATTTCACTTGTACATAAATAAATTATATATATATTATATATATAATATCTTTACAGTGATCGAATGAGAGTGATTTTAGGGTTCTCCTGGTTAGAAGAGAATGAGAATGGACTCACTGAGCAACAGAGTCCACACTGCTTTGGGAAATAAGCATGGATGGAGAAATTGGCTTCGGGCTCTGGTGCTGAGCACCATGTAGCTAACTCAGGGGAGAGAGGCCTCCCTGGAATAAAACAAGTGGACATACAGCACAGATTTTATTATTCTAAGGCCCTGGGAGTCCAGGAGTTACTGTGACAGAATTCACCAAAAGTATAGGTTGATTTTTCCTTTATATGCAAATTCTTTTATTTCTTTGCTTAGCATTTCTATTTCCATTAATTCTAAGAAAAGAATGTCACTCTGAAAAAGTTCAGCAATGCTTACAGGTGGTATTGGCATTAGAAATTTGCTAAGTATATAGGTATTAAACAATATAGCTTAGTAAGAATGACATACAGAGCTCCTAGGGCAGAGAAGCTGAGCTGGTCCCAGCACCCGCAAGGAAGCTCGCCCGCTGCCATCCCAAGCTCCTAGGGCAGAGAAGGTGAGCTGCACGGGCACCAGAAGCAGCCCCCCACCCCTGTAGAAATGAGAAGACACATAAACAAGCCTCAAAAACAGACTTCTGGGTCACCTACAGTAATCCCAAAGGGAAACGAGATGGAACAATGTGATAATCAACTACCTGGACTCCCTGAACTGGCAACAAAAGAGGATCTGGGAAAAATGAAATCAGAAATAATTACTCAGATAACAGCAAAGATTGTGCTCA